CAGGTACATATATACCAGTAGAGCCTGTAAGCATATGAATGCTGTATACTGTTGGAAGTTTCAATATATAGTAATTGACATGTAAGTAATGTATAATGGTAACCAAGCCAAATACTATGAAGAACGCTGAAGTGATAGAACAGCAGATCTTAATCTGTGCCACTGATAATGAGTGATCTAATGGCGTGCTGTATTCTAATAAAAAGCACCAAAAGAGAGAGTTGGACAGATAAGACAGTACTTGACTGGTAGCCAATAATATGAGGATAATAAAACCGAGAATATGGTGCTAGTAGAAATAAGCAACACGCTAGTGGCTTGCCTCTGTACCTACGAGGGTACTAAAGTAGTAACTGGCCTATGCTGTCAAGATAATGAGGACGGAAATGTAAAGAATGCTGTGAATAGCTAGCTGCAATTTCACTGCCAATACATCCCCCCGTGCCTTCGAGGGCACCTAAGTCTAACCCGGCTAGAAAGTAAACTGTGTAAAAAGAAGACAATTAGAGTTGCTGTCATCTAATAAAAAGACGGCATGTGTAAAGCCCCTGACGTGCGCGTTTCATCCACTTAGCTCGTCAGGGGCTTTACACATGCCGTCTTTGTTATTGACCCCCATATTACTATAAGGGAGGTTTGAATTTTTTTCAAATGTGGACTAAAATTTGAAGAACTTGTGAACAATGTCTGGATTTTGCTGACCGAATGCTTCATTCGACTTGGACTTTAGTGAATAGCCCTGTTAGTGGCTGTCCCATAGCCATCTTTTTTTTTTCTATCATTCATCTCTTTTTTTGTCACCATGGATGGAACTCCGAATCACAAATCAAGCTAACATGCTCATCTATTATGCAAGTTGTTTGTTCGATTAAACGTCCATAAATTCAAGCGAACTGCAATTAGTCTGAAAATGAATGCACAAATCTATTATTCATTGATTTTGTAGAAATATCACTAAATTGCTATGCAAATAAACCACATCTGCTATTCGTAAACAACTTAAACCAAACAACAAAATACAAGCAAACTCTGTTCTCGAAGTTGGAAATTTCATGTTGGATAGTCCTTATAGCCAAACTCTGACTTGAAGAACTGTACATTTAAAAAGACAACTTGAAGCTTTGATAGATTTAAAAAAAAAGAAATGGTAGATTTGAAAAAATATTCCAATCTCTGCTTCACTTACCCTTTGATCCTGTCTCATCTGACTTTTATATCTCCTTCCACTTAGGGCTCATTATCATAGACTATAATGTGTTAGGTGAAAGTGGGAAACAAAGTCCCATCGGAGGTAAGTTTCCTGACACTCTGAGAGCATATAGATGGATGTCAAATGGATGTAGATAGTGTAAAAAATGAAATGTTGGGGACCAGGCCTAACCACGAGATGGAGCAGATATCATTTCTCACAGCTCCAGCAGTAGCCCTTCAAATTCTATGAAAAACTCACACTATACTGCCCATCCAGCCGACATAAACCAACTACTCTTTTGAAAATATAATGAACCCTTTAAGGAATAAAAAAAAAAAAAAGATTACTCACCTTCAGGCAGTTCCCAGTATCAGTACATGCCGTTCTTTCTGGGCTCTGGGTAGAAACAGCAAAGTAAAAAGTCCCTAACAGCCAGGGCCTGCATGAATTGTTGGGGTCTCTCCTGACACTGGGGGCACCGGAACCCAACACACGCTCTCCTACAGCTCACGGAACTCTGATATGGGGAGGCACTTACAGAAGCCACCACCAGGCACATCGGCCAATTCAAGAGACATCAAGGCTTTGCTCCTGCAGCAGGCCCAATCTAAAATGGCGGCCCAGGAAGACCAAGACACCCCTGCAGAATCACCGCACCCTCCACAAGATGACCCAAAGTCTCTGACACAGGGAAGGGAGCTAATACCTCCTGGCTATCCAGATCTGTCTGCCCTGGACACTATGGAGGATATCAAGAATCTCATTTCTGATTTTTGGCAGACGCTGGCCACAGATATTGCTGCAATTTAGGCTGATGTGCAAATGGTAACAGACAGCGTAGATGGCCACTGAGGAGGACATCATAGACCTGAAGTTTGCTGTGTCCAATATGGGGGATTCTCTTTACAACAAGCTGCACAACATGCATTCACCACGCATCTTGCAGCACTGGATAACTGCTCAAGGCATAACAATGTAAAGATAAGAGGTGTACCAGACACCAATTCTATAAAAGTGCTTCTACACTACGTGGAAACTCACATTTGATGGCATCTTTTGTCTACCCAAGTCACCGGGAGCAACATTATCCACTGCTAAGGATGTCATAATTAGCTGTTAACTCTCTCACGACAAAAGAACCTTCCTAGCTCCCTTCAAAGACAAGACACCGTACTCCTTTGAAGGATCTGACCTCTCATTCTATCAAGACCTCTGAGGGTCCAGCCTGCAATGGCAAAGGTCGCTTACTCCCATTACTAGCCAGTTGAGAACAGCTGGCGGTGAGTATGGATGTACGACACCGAGATCACTCACAGCATGGGACTATACACAGATTGTCTGCTGCCGATGACGAACAAGCCCTGTTTCGGGCATTGGGACTGTCTGCACCTGACAAAGTACTAGGGAGATAATAAGCCACCCATAGTTGGGATATGACTTCAGTAGTCCCCTTCACTCTACAGAACCAGATCTGCAACACAATCTGTGACATGACTAGGACCTGGATCGCAGAGAATGCTGGCAGCCCTGAGCTGCATGCTTCATGCATTACTCGTTTTGTTTGCAGTTTGAAATACTTGACAGGGTTTTCCTATATGTTATGGTTTCCACTAGACTGCTCAAACCAGTGAGGCTCTTCGGCTGAGGCCTAGTTGTCTATGGTTCTGCTCCAAGTGAGTGAGGTATGGGCTAGGGGTAATGAAAGCAATAGCCTTCCATTTTCCATCATGAGGTACTTCTTGTTTGATGGCTCAAAGCCACAAATCCTTGTAGCCTCGTCACATACACTCAGATGCCCATACAGGATACACTCATAACAACTCATACCATGCCCAGAATTCCACTACGATAAACTTACGTTTAGTTTTATTTTAGGACACCATGAACGCTCAACAGTTTAATTTGCCCTCTTTTCCTTGTTCCCCAATCACTACTGTGTACCTAGTTAACTCACATTGGTAGGCATGTTCCCAGTAGTTTTCTAAGCAATCCCTGGTAACATCTACCTATGATCACATGCTATAGTGGAATAGGATCAACGTTATTTTAACTCTGTCCTCCTAGGTTTACTTATGTTATTTTACTAAAAAAAGAAAAAAGAGGTATTCATGTATAATTTACCTGCTACAGACTAAACCAATTTGTGTACCTTGCTCTTATGTATTGCACAGTATGTTATGAAATTATATTTACTTCAATAAAAAACAAAAAATAGAATTACAAAAAAAAATGAAATGTGGCGCTTTACCTGCATATCACCTGCATATCTTAAGTTGGACTTTGGAAAGTCCTACTTGGGTAAGAAAGTGACATGGATGGTTCCGAGTTGAGTTTGAACAGAAGAAAGAAAGGGCCTGTTTTTCAGGTTTTTTTCTGGGGTCCAGCAGCATTTACTAGGTATTAGTCTGGGTTAGTACATCTGTTTGTGACAGAACCTGCTGTGTCTAATAGCTAAAAAGGTGTAAATACAAGTCCATTAAATTATAAGCTTCTCAGCAAACGTTACTTTCTATTTTAATACTTGAATATTTTATTGTGAGTGGAAAAAATGCATCTGAAATGTCCCCTTAAGCACAATGAAATCTTATAGATCATTACACTGAGACGTTATGAATAGTAAAAAAAATATACATATAGATATATTCAAGAAAATGTAAACACCCACTTCTCATGATTGCCTTGAGCAATTCATTCTATATTCTAAATTACCACAGAACTGCTAGCTTTATTGGAAATTCATTCAGCCATTCAAAAATCCTTACATTATTTTTGCAGCTGCAAGCATTTGATTTAAAAAGTGTATTCCTGTATTCTCTAAAAGAGCTCAGTCATTTAAAAATAATTTACATAAACATGACTCAGAACTTTTAAAAATTATTTTTTTATAATAGAATGAATGTTTCACATGAGCAGTTCGACCAGCTGATATGTTACTTTGAAGGCCTAGTCCATTTCACACCAATCATTGCAACACTGATAGTATTTTAAAGATGTGTAAAGGATTATGTGGGATTGTCGGTCTTAACCCTTTGTATATCCACAAAACCAAAAGATATGTTTTATATGTTTTTTGTCGTCATCCTATTTCTCCCCTGTCGTTCCCAGGCTCCTTCTGCTCTTGCCGGGTTAAATAGACTGGAATCCAGAGCATGTTCAATGCAATTTGGTGTAATTTCTGCTAATCATATCGGCACTACATGTTTCCTTCGAGCGTAGTTCGGACTTCCTCAGGATCTGCGAATATCCTGTCCTCTTCCTGTTTAAATACCTAAAAATTGGTGCTGATTTCATGCATGTAAAATGCCAGCCAGTGCTACAATGACAAAAGCACATGGGCACAGGACCACATCGCAAATTCACTTCCACCGGGCTTAGCGCAAACAAAGTTATTGATATGGCTCACTGTTCTCTTACACTACATCGTGGTATCCTCCAAAAAAATGAATACAAATTATGTGTATGAACAAGCACACATGGCACACTATATTTATTTATGTTTGTAGTTGAAAATTAGGCATTCAGGGGGCGGGGCTTAGCCACGGAACGAAGCAGGTGCCATAGTCCGCTTCGCCTTAGCCCAAGACAAACAGGCACTAATTGCTGCACTACGAAACCAAACTCCCTACACATTCGAGGGAGCTGAAATATCCTTCTACCAGAACCTGTCAAGGCCCACCTTACAATGGCGCAAATCTCTTCTCCAGGCCACAAGCCAACTAAGACAAGCGGGAATACCATTGAAATGGACTACCCCACGAGCTCTCACGGTGAGCCACAATGGGACCACAGGATCACCATGGCCGAAGAGGCGCCTACATTGCTGCGGGCACTGGGACAGACAGCCCCTGATGAGGAGTCAAAAGACCGGAGGGCAACACCGACCTGGGACCCAGCCACAGTAGTCGCCTTCACCCCATGGAACCACTGGGCTACGGCATCGGGACATGACTGGGTCCTAACTCTAAAGAGCAGCAGGCAGATACAGACTGCACTCCTCCTACAAAATGTTACTCTTGTTTTGATAACTCGTTATACTTTATGTTGTTCCCAAGGCTGGGACAGGTGGGTAGGAAGAGGGCCAGGTGACAGGTGGGTAGGAATAGGGCCACACACCCACCACGACTCTACCTCCCCTCCCCCCCCCGCAGCCCCCTTGGTTAGGGGCACTACAAGCCAAACTGGCCCACTTATTTGTCACTACAACATCGCTTCTATCTAGGCCCCAAAACGGACCACAAAAGCCACTCACGACGAGAGGCACCCACAGACTGCCACACCCACAGACCTTTGCATACTCATACCCACACAATGAATGATTGACTGCAGCAACTCTAGTGAGCCCAACACAGACCCGACCACACCTAGCTAGCCTTCAGACAGGCACCACAGACCCATAAGCACAAGTCAAAGGGTACCGACTGTAGTCATGACAGGGATGTCCTCGCAGCACTCACCAGAAAGACAAGCGACCCCCAAAAGAGGGCCCAGGTCAAGCGACAACTAAACTCGGACACACATACCAGAACACATGCTCCCACTACACAGGGTATCCAGCAAACAACTAAAAGTTTACTATAGTTACATAAGCGTGATAACTGGTTCATAATGCTTGTTTAAAAAAAAAAAAAATGCAATTTTCTCAACATGTCTGATACTTTTACAGCATCGCAATACTACTTGATGTCATATCTGTATTTGCAAATGTTTTTCTTTATATGCACCGCAAAAAAAATAAAAAAAATTAGGCATTCAGCCAATTGTAAAGATATCACCACTTGACCCATGAGAAGACCCAGATGTGCTCAGAAAATCGCACAGTGGTCAAGCGCATTGGTGGGGATTTGTGCCACCTGTGATGCATATGGATAACTTGGAATTATTATATACACAGAGCCATAACGCACATGCTCCAATGACATGGGACATGAGTTGTCCATCACTGGTTTACACCAGTCAATGCATTGAAAACCTGTCATTATTCTATGACATTTATTTTTTAAAATTATATTTTTGTGAATCCCATAAGACTTTGTCTTTTTGAATTGATCACAAACAACATATTTGGTTAACATTTCCAAAGTGCTTCCTTACTTGAATGTATGTCAAAATGTCAGCATTATTTATTCTTTGCACATGTGGACAAACATCCATTCTAGTTGGTGCTTCTACAAACTCAGACATGAATGTTTTACTAAACTGGTTCAAAAACATAAAAAAACTAAAACAAAAGTTCTGCGCTCACTCCCAACACTCCTGGGTGGCAGCAATGACCATAGTACACATCAGCTAATACATATAGTAAAAACCAAAGAAAAACCTGTGCTCTCTCCTTAATCCCTATGTATATTTAAACAAATGGAGGTCATTAAGTTGCTCCAATGGCCACTGGAGGGAATGCCCACCTGCCAACGTCAAGACCCCCTAGACGGGTCCTACTCTGACACTTTACCCTGCTTCCTTGAGCTTCTGGCAAAAATATCTCTGAGACAGAAAAGGGTATTTTTCATTTAAACCCCTATATACTTGTTAACCCTTAATAGGGAACACATTGGATGGGCGGCAGCATTGTAACATAGCTGTGTGATGCAAAAAGTGAATACAAATACAAAAAGAAAAGTCCTGCGCTCACGCCCATCCCTCCTGGGTGGCAGCAACGACCACTGTACACATCAGCCCCAATACATACAGTAAAAACCAAAGGAAAAAAGTTACCTGCGCTCTCTCCTTAATCCCTATGTATATTTAAACAAATGGAGGTCATTTAGTTAGTCCAATGGCCACTGGAGGGAATGCCCGCCTGCCAACGTCAAGGCAGACCCCTCTGGACGGGTCCTACTTTTACGCAGGTAACTTTTTTTCAATACAGCAAGTTAAAGGGCCAGAGTAGGACCCGTCTAAGGGGGGTCTGCCTTGACGTTGGCAGGCGGGCATTCCCTCCAGTGGTCATTGGAGTAACTAAATGACCTCCATTTGTTTAAGTATACATCATAGGGATTAAGGAGAGAGCGCAGGTAACTTTTTTTCTTAGGTTCAAAAACATGTTTCATTAAGTTGTACAACTAGGCCCTGTATCCCAATCAATGTCTAGGTAGTTAAAACCTCAACAAGTAATCACACTCAGATGTGCAGCTTATTCAGTTTGTGCTACTAGCTTATCTTCCTTTATTATTATCAATATCTTTGGGTTTCTAATGTATAGGTAATTGCTTTTCATATCTCCCCCCCAAAAAAAAAAGATTTCTACCTGAAACACCTCCATATTTTCAGCCATATCAGATTTGACATATAAACATACCCCTCACCATTTGCTTTTTTTAAATGTATTTATTTTATACCTTTTCGAAACGTCCAATGCCCAATTGGTTAGAGTTGTGTTAAATTTTACCTGTGCTACTAGGCTTTTGGAATGTTTTTGGAATGCATATCAGAAGAATCATTTCAGCATGCTGTGAAAATGATCTTACAGATGGAAAGATGTGTCTAGATCTTTAGGTTAGCACTGTTAATTGTGGCTGTTAAGGTGTTTTGGATAGAATTTACAGATTTGCTCAGATTTACCACCCGCTATTGGCTATAAACATCAAATGCAGATCTTTTTGCAAATACTGTTAAAACACATAGCTGGCATGAAAAATCGAAGCAATGATATGATAAGGGTAACATTTTCCAGAGCTAAGTAGTATGGAAATCATTTGCAGCTGCTGTATATAAAAACATCCATCAATGTGATCAGGGAAAGCGTAGAAGTATATCAACCAGGCAACTGCTTTGGAAATTGTTCTTCATATGAATATTGTACTAGATCTACATGATTTCTGGAGGATATTGTCAACTCGCATTATTAAAGTGCTATATAAAAATTGAAGGAAAATCTATGTAAATATCTGTTTGCATCTTGCTCGGATGTGATTTTGGAGTGTTTGCAATAGCATTTTAAACAAATGGCCAATGCTCATGGTCTTTGCTTGCAATAAAATTCTAGCACAATGAAAAGCTTTTAAGCATAACCTTTCTTCAGTCATTTGAGTACAAAGATCAACTAAGCTTATTAGACATAGTCCTATATCTGATTATTGGTATGGATTGTACTGTTATCATCAATTCAAAATGAATTTAAAATGGGATTTCAATCCCCATTGATGCTTTGAAAAAGACCAGTTTTAATTAAAGATTACGCGACTTCTCTGTTAAAGAGAACACTATGCATATATAGCTCTAACCATAATCACATGACATGTGAATGTTATTCCCTGCACTATGAATTTGGCACTCAGCAGGAAAAGTAGTATGTTTTTCATATACATTTATTGTGGCAATACCATCAGGAATGAACTCGTGCTTACACCACTCACAGGTCCCTGTAACGATAAGTGGATTGTTTATCAGAACTAAACAGAAACTCCTGTGGTGAAAGCAACATAAAAAGAGACTTGTGTTCAATAGAATGTCGTTATAGGCCAATTTCTCAACAAAGCACAAATAAACAATGCATGTCTTGTTGGTTCTTTCATTTTCACGCAAGTAAGCAAATAACTCTTGCCTCTCACCTTATTTCTATTTCCTATATATCTTTATGAAACCACGATGCTGCACTCACCTGAACATGCATACAAATATTATAATATGCATTATTGTATCATAAGAGCAGGCATTAGGTTGCTAGAGTAGGACATGATTCGTCCTGAACCAATAAAAGGCTTATGCACAGATGATAAACTGAAAATAAAGAGTATTGATTCTAATTAAATTGTAAAGAGCTTTTTTTTATATTATACTAGATGTTAGTCTTACGTAGAATTGTGAGATGCTATATACCTTGTGTACGGTGGGTTAATTCACTAAAGTGTGAAAGTCAGGAATTATAAGTAAATTTAAAATTGTAGGCCAAAATAGCTCATTTGGAACTTTTCTGCAAGACAGCAATGCTCGTAAAATTTAAAATTTACTTTGAATCCAGTAAATTCCTAACAACTTACTATTAAGTCACAACCCCTTCCTATGTTTATGAGAGTACATGTATTGTACAGGTTTGTTGACCATGGGGACCATGTTCTAAAGACCTCTGTTCAAACAAGGAATATTTAAAAGGCTATTTTCAGCTGCTTATTTTCCCTGTTGTAACGGATCCCCTATACTCCGGCTGAGTATATCCGTTATAAATCTCCCGAGTCCCAAGCGCATTAGTGATTATAGCCCAAGTTCCCCAAACATCAGCCTAGACTTGATGAAGGGTAGAAACGAATGTGTTTAATCTGGCCAACTGGCCCACTTATATACAAAATCAGGACGCAGTAAAACACACCCATAACACTCCCACAAAATGTCCCCAAATTCCAGTATCAGCATGACTCTGAATAAGTGACATAAAATATGAAAACACATAAAAATACATAATAAACATATAGGAACCACCACAAATATTATATCCCCGCCTGGATCTGAGAGCCCAAGTTGTCCAAATAGGGCTAAGATCCCACGAATACAGTCGAATCTCCACCGGGGTAAAGTTTGGACCGCCCGCTCATAAAGCGTCTGCCCAAACCCGTTCCATAGTTTTAGTGGTTGCGGTCGGTCAATTTGGGGAGTTCCAAACCGACCAAAAAGATGAATGATTCCCCTGACTCATAGGTAGCAATTGTTCATCTTGTTAATACGTGTGAAAAAACCCACCAAACACTGCTGTCCTGGAAGCAGGCATTCATATGGTTTCTCCGATGTTCGTGATGTTGAGTGTGCGACTTGGAGTTGCAGACACTCTATGACCAAGTCTCGCTGCCTGCGTTCGTACGACAAGATGGCCGCCAATTTCTCCAGCACATGGCGTTCGGTTATACGAACGGCGGCCACACAGAGAGAACACTTAATCCTGTGGTTTCTTTGTAGTTAATGAGCCAGGGGGGTGGTCGGTGTTCAGTAGATTTATATAACAAATGCAGAGAAAACATAATGGGGTTTAGGTACTTGTTAATGAACTTAGGAGTAGGACATAGGAGTAGGAGTGCAGCA